CACTCTTTCTTCGGCATCTTCGTACGACGATCTTGCCTTTCCATCGTTTTCATCTTTTGTTGAAAATAGATGTTTCACAACTGTAGAACTCGAATTGCTCTTGACTTTCTGAGGAGTCACACGTCCTCTTCCACCACCGGATGAAGAATAGTCAACGAATCACTCACTTTGGAGTTTGTGAACGTTTGTCTTGTGGCGACCCTGTTATTGAATTGGGTGAACAAGATTGCAGCTTTGCATGAAAAGCTTATAGTGTGGAAGAAGAACCTTGATTCCACCTTGACCCAAACACTTGTAATAAGCATTGATATAGTCGACTGCCAAACATGGGAGAAATCGAACGAGCGCTACAATATGGACAAACAAGAGTGTTCGCACAAGTTCATTCATGGGGCAGTGAAATACGAGGTTGCGATGTCAAAAGCATCACGGAAATGTATTTAGAGCTATTGCAATAACGGTGCAGTACCAAATGAACAATGGCGCTCCCATCTTTGAAGCTCCAATGCAAAGAGAATAAGTATTCAATAACGACCATAGTAGAAACGATTGTATTGAACTCATGAAATGTAACCTGTAGGAAGCATATGTGTACTTTTGTTGTAGTCATTTCAGTTGGTTCGTCCGCGATCTCCTCCATATCCATCCTGTCTACATCAACTTGCTCGGCCTCTTTCTCATCGGCTTCAAGCTCAGCACAAGTTGTATTCAACATCTCAATTTTGTTTTGCTTGAGCAGTTTGACCTATTTTCTAATGCTAACCCTTTTCACAGTGTTCTAGACGAACCGACTAAAGACCTTTTGAGTATTGATACCTGGCTCACGGAACATTTTCGGGTTTTGATTCCACAATGGAAGTGGCACAAAATTGCGATGATCCAAGTTGTTCTCCTCCACAGTATGAAGTTGGAGCTGAATTTGCCAATCTTGAAGCTTACCTGCTGGAGCTGATTGCTTGGTGGTTGGAGGAGACACGGTCATGGCGTTTGGGGGCATGGTAGTAGGTTCAGTGTTGTGCTGAAGCATTTTGCCGTAGGTGTTGGGATATGACGAAATATGAGTTTTTACGTTCCAAACAAAACTATTCAAGTACGAGGTTTTCGACACGTGCGATCGGAATTTGATCGTGCAAGATGTTGGGATTTGACGCAAGTATGCCGGACGCGAGTCTGTCGGACAATCTATATCCACACGAACAGGAAAAGATCCTGTACAAGTGGAATATCGATGTTGTGTATGATGCAGTAGGGAATAATGCAAGATATCCCAAAGTACTGCATTCAACACAGAATTGCCGTAGAAGTCGAATCAAGTTCTGGGATATTCCGCATTTTGGTGTGAATCTGAACTGGAATCGGGGCCTGACCGGCTTGCTCACTCCTTCTGCACGGGGATCTGTGATCCGACATCATCACTGCTCGTGGAATTCATTCTTGGTCG